ATATGCAAAAATATGTAAACTGGACTTTATCAAAAAAAACAGCTGTGGCTCACCCCCGTAATCCCCACACTTTGGGAGACCGAAGTGGGCAGGGCGGATCACCTGAGGTCAGGAATTCGAGATCAGCCTGGCCAACATGATGAAACCTCGTCTGTACTAAAAATGCAAAAATTAGCCAAGCGTGGTGGCGTGCACCTGTAATCCCAGCTGAGGCTGAGGCAGGAGAAACGCTTGAACCGGGGAGGCGGAGGCTGCAGTGAGGCAAGATCATGCCATTGCACTACAGCCTGGGCAACAGAGACTCCATCTCAGTAAATAAATAAATAAATAAATAAATAAATAAATAAATAAATAAATAAATAAATAGCAAAGAGAAAAAGAAAGGGAGAAAAGATTTCAAATCCTGTATCCAATGAGGGACTTTTTTATTTTTATTTTTTCTTCGAGATGGAGTCTCTCTCTGTCTCTCAGGCTGGCGTAACCATGAGCCAGAAATAAACCAGCTCCACAATGACGCAAGCAGAGTTTCCAATAAATTCATCCCTGATTGGATCCAGGTGAATGCTCCTATCAGCACTGCAAAGCGTCAAAGTCTCCTTACAAGCTTTCCTGGGCAATGTCAATCAAAAACCACCAAGATACAAAGGCGCAAGAATTGACTGGAAAACGAGAGAAATAAACAAACAAACAAAAACAATAAACCCAGATCCATAGAAAAGGCAGAAAGAGGAACTGCTTCCGGGGCAGGTGAATTTGACTGTTTGGAACACAGCCTCATGCCATGCCTGCAATTTCTGCACTGGGACTATCCTGTCGGGTTTGACATGTGACTCCCTGGAGAATGTAAAAACTCCAATGCCTCACCCAACCCTACCCCACCACCCGCAAAGCCTCGAATGCACTTGCTCGCGAATTGGTTCCCACATGCAAATATGGGTAGAACCCCAGCGGTAAGCAACCAACCCCAGCCCAGGCAGCTGGCTTCAGCCCACACCGGGCCGTCTGCAGTGAGGACAGAGTCCCCTGCGATCTTTCCCCGGTCTGGAGTTTCCAGGCAGTCATCGGACTGACGGTCACGCTGACCGGCCTCAGTCCCGCACCCCTCCCCATGAGGTCCCCTTGGCCTTGCCGGCCCAGGTCTTGCATTTGTGAAACGGCTGCAACCACTGCGCGGCTGCAGGGAGACGGGCAATCTTCAGGCCTTTGCGAGGCTCTGCTACGCCCGGTGACTGTCGGGGATCGGCACCCGCATGGGCTCTCCCAAGTGGCAGCTTGGAGCCAGGAAGACTAGTGCGAGGAACCCATGCCACAGAAGGCGGCGCAGGAGAGCGCGTCCACCGCCCGCCTTGAGGAAGCAGCCTCGGGGCGAACACCGGCTGCTCGGTGGACTCTCAGGGC